ATTGAACTGTATGTATGTGATCTGAGCGCCATCCGGTAGTAATGGGCGCTCAGATCTAAGCTATCTGGGGATAGGTAGAATGTGTATGTTCTATGTGATAAATGTAACAGTATGTATTTTTATGGTGTCTGCTGCAGTGCTTGGAGTCCTCAGGAGGCGCTAGGAGCATCCTTCAATGGAGGTACCCAGTCAGGTTGCCAGGTGATCCGTTACAGGTAGGTGCAGCGCTTCAGTAATCCTTGACAAGGTATATGTGAAGAGAACCAGAGAAGGAATAATAGTGTAGTATTTAAAACTGTAGTGATGATAAGTAAAATAAAAGATGTGCACTCACACTTTCCTGAAGCTTCAATACAGCTCCAGTGTATGCGCTTGGGCGGAATAATCCCCGCCTATGGATCAAGTGCATAGGCAATTCTTCAAGTTATAGGTGTGGTAGGGGGTATCCTCATAAAAAACAAACAAATAAAAATTGTATATGGTGAAGTATGTAGAGCTATGAAGCAAGGGTAGGTAAAAACTATAAAATGTGCACTCACCTGTAATGGAGCCATAAAACCTGGCTCCTCTGATAGCGCTTGAAGTGGTATGATCCCCACTCAAGGATACAGGTGTAAATGCAAATTCTTCCCTCCGTGTATATGTGGAGATAAACACACAGAACCACAATAGTGTACAACGTAAAAAAGGAATGTAAGCAGAAATAGATAGTTTAAGCCTACTCACATGCTAATGAGCAAGTTCCGGTTTGCTCAATCCAAAGCGCCTGGGTGGTATGATCCCCACCAGGGATATAGCTCCAAACAATCCAACAGCAGCAAAATTAGGTCCAATTAAAAAAGTACTTTAATGTTAAAAAAATATAATAAAAGAAATGCAATATATAATAAAATAGAGATAAAAAAGGTATAAACAATACACGTAACGCGTTTCTCCTTAGATAGGCTTTATCAAAAGTGTTTTACAGAGTAAATGGGACCTGAGCTGCTTAAATAGGGTTAGGATTTTGAAAATAACGGTTTTGTGACATCATAGTCACATGACCAATTTTTTTTTTCTTTATTATCTCTTTTGGCTCCAACAAAATGGCAACTGCCTGAATAAGCTGGGTATCCAAAAAAATGGTGGACAAGTAATTTGTATCACAAATATAAAAAGGGTCAGTAGCTCCCTCTACAGGCAAAAACTGGAATAGCACATACTAAAATAAGAGAAGCAATAGCTCCCTCTATAGACATAAAAAAAACAAAAAAAAACCACTAAAACAACTTCAATAAATAATAGTAATATGGTCTATGCATAGACAATATTAGATAAAAATAATAAATAAGATAACAGTGTAAAAAGGACCAGAATAATACAAAAAATGGAGTACATGGTTATAACTGAATATAAGAGCATCTTTGTAAATACCAATACAAGTTTAAAAATATACTTCATATAATGACAAATCTAGATAATACAATCTTAAGAAAATTAAATAATGAAAACTAATAAATGTGTAATTCACATAAAAATAATAAAAATTTAAAATAAAATAAAATTTAAAACAACACATAAATCATATTAACAATGAGTTATAGGCATAAGAACATTTAAAAATCAATGGCAGAGGAAATGATGAGATGGAAAATAATTAAAAAATAATAATTAAAAAAGGGGCTATAAAAAATTGTACAGATCAAAGTCTGAATTGAGCCCGGTGGGAATTAAAGTTTTTAGGTAAAAGACCCATTTCATTTCACACTGCCCAAGGATTTTTGAAATATTGCCAACTCTCCATGGTAAAGTGCAGACATCTATAGCGTAAAATTTCAGGAATTTAGAATTTATTATTGTGTATTTGGAAATGTTTGGACACTGTATGGTTAGCAAACCCTTTTATAATATTCCTGCAATGTTCGGCTATCCTGGTTTTAAGTTTTCTAGTTGTCATGCCCACGTATTGGAGACCGCAAGGGCACTCCAACACGTAAATTACATTTTTAGTATTACAGGTGATAAAGTTATTTATTTTGTATTCTTTGTTAGTGATATTTGATTTAAATTTAGTAGTACTAATACAGGAATTATCTGTGTATTTGCATGCTGAACATATTTTACATTTGAAGAAACCTTGTTTATTTAAAAAAGTGTTTTTTTTTTAGTGGATATTTTTGTGTAATTTGTAGATAAGATGGACCTGAGATTAGGAGCTCCTCTGAATACAATTTTGGGTTTGGACGGTAGGAAGTACTATGTCTTATTTTTGTTTCAGTTTATATTCCAGCAGGGTATTTCTGTCAAGGGTACCTATATTTGCGATTAGAGTGTCTAAGGTGGTGGTATTGTACTTCTTTTCAATTAATTTGTCTTTTAGCATCCTAACTTGTGTATTAAAAGTAATGCTGTCTGTGCAATTTCTTTTTAATCTTAAAAACTGACTTTTTGGTACACCATTCAGCCATGGGGCATAGTGGCAACTAGTAAGGTCATAAAAAGGTTGGCATAGCTAGGGGCGAACCTAGTCCCCATCGCCGTACCAGTTTTTTGCAGGTAAAAAGTATCATAAAACCAAAAATAATTGTTTTCTAAAATCAACTGGATACCTTCCACAATAAAATCAATTTGCATTTTTTAGATATTATTTTCTTTTTCCAATATATTTCTTATTGCGTTACAACCAATATCATGCGGGATGATGGTATATAGCGACTGCACGTCGCTACTTACTCAAATGTAATTATCGTCCCAATCTATATTTTTTTGATTTGAAGAAGACCCATACTATCCCTTAGGTAGGATTTGGTATTTTGTTCATAAGGCTGCAAAATTATATATATGTGTTCAGAAAGGTTTGAAAGCACTGAATTAATACCTGAAACTATGGGACGACCAGGGAGATTTTTTATGTCCTTGTGTATTTTAGGAAGAAAATATATAACTGGTATAGACAAGAATTGTATATTAATGTAGGAATACCCAGAATTATTTAAAATATTATTGTTTTTGCCTTTGTCAATGAGGAGTAATAATTATTTTTTTATAATTTTGGTAATAATTTAAAATATTATTGTTTTTTACTCCAATAATGTGCTATAAACATGGAATTATAAATCTCTCTCAATGTACTCATCCAATTTATTAATGATAATCTCTCGGCACGATGTCTTTTTAATGAGTGTGTTTTATTTTCTTGGGTGTTATTATTTTGTGCTTTTGGAGAAAGAGAAGAAAAGGGGAAGGTATATGAAATAGTATACCTCCTGAGGCTTGATTGACATGTTTGTGACTGTACATTCTCTTGCAGAACCTTCTTCCAATTGTACTGGTGTTTTTTTTTCTTCTCTTTTACTTCTGTTTGTTAAGATGTTAAGTCTTTTTTGTGTAACTGATGGAAAAATAATAATAATAAAGATTATAAATGTTAAAAAAAAGCAAATGCACATAGGGTATACTAAAATATATAATTTTAAAAAGGCCAATTTCAGTAAGAAAAGGGCAGCTTTACAATATCTTGACTGCCATAAAGCCTTTAATGAAAATAAACACTGAGGATAAATAAAATATCTTCATACAAACATTATAAAGGTACATTTCTCATTAAATAGCATTGGGTAATAAATATAAAAGAACCACATTGAAACCAATGAGGCCTAATGGGAAATTAAATCAAGAAATTAAAAATAAGAAAAGGGCATTTAAAGCACTTAAATCAGACAACTCAGAGGCATCCTATAAAAGCACAAACCAACCCCAAAACATGTTTTAAGTACATAAATTCTAAAAAAAAAAAAAAAAAAAAGTATAGATATACTGAAAACCAGGATGGGGGTGTTAGTTAATTAAGACCATGAAAATCCCCAAATTTTAAATAATTATTTCTCTTAAGTATATATTAATGAAGAATCTATGATAGGAGATATGCCAATGATTGCTGTAAAAAACTTGCAGGAAAACTGTGATTGGATGACTCAAGACAAGGTGCTGCAGCAACTAAAGAAAGGTAATGTAAACAAAGCTCTGGGATCTGACTGTATTCACCCACGAGTACTTGAAGAGCTAAGTGTAGAAATAAGTTTTTAATCTTTCAAGATTCTTTTCTTTCAGGAATTGTACTGGAGGATTGCAGGTAGGCAGATGTGGTTCCTATATTCAAAATCCTTGCCTGGAAACTATAGACTTGTGAGCATAACTTCTATGGCTGCAAAAGTATTTAAAAGGTTAATAAGGGATAATATTCATGAATTCATTGAGAACATTGTTATTACCAAGAATCAGCATGGTTTTATGAAACATAGGTCATGTCAAACTAACTTTTTTGCATCCTATGAAGAAGTAAGTAGAAGTATAAATCAAGGTGTTGCAGTGGATGTGATCTACTTGAATTTTGCCAAGGCGTTTGATATGGTTCCACACAATAGGTTAGTGATCAAACTACAAAAAATTGGTCTAGATGAACATTGTCATTAAACCCTTAAGGACACATGACATGTGTGACATGTCATGATTCCCTTTTATTCCAGAAGATTGGTCCTTAAGGGGTTAAAGGTACGTTTTCAAACTGGACAAAAGTGGTAAATGGTGTTCCTTAGGAATCTGTTCTGGAACTGCTTCTATTTAACATATTTATAAATTAAAATGATCTTGAAGTAAGCATTGAAAGTCATGTTTCAGTGTTTGCAAATGACACAAAACTCTGTAAAATAAAACAATGTGTGCAATCAGGGGACCTGTCAGACAACCCAGGCTGTCCACCTGGAGCCAATTTAGCCAATCCGAATTATATCATCACAGTGCTTCTGCGATCAGGTGACTCGGATCAGGTTGATTGGCATCAGGGAGACTACCTGAGATGTCAGACAGGTCCTTCATCTCGATCGGAGTGCAGCGTAAGTATCCAGGCCGGAGGAATGGCCAGATCATTAGGGTGTGCAATGCCGCCCTAACGGCATTACAACCCTCCTTTTATAGGACGTCATAGCATGCACTAACGTTGGGAAGTGCTTATTAATCATCCTGTTGTATGCATTCAGAACGACAAAAGCACCCTCTACAAAAGAAGTCTAAGTATGGCTAGTGCAACATAAAGGGATACTATAGACATCGAAATAAAATTTGCTTAAGGAAGCAGTTTTGGTGTATATATCATGCCCCTGCACTCTCACTGCTCAATTATCTGCCATTTGAGAGTAAAATCACTTTGTTTATACAGACCTAGTCACACCAGGCATGGAGAAACAATCTTCTAACAGAGGAGAAAAAAAATTAAGGTTCTAGAGATACACAAACTGAATGGGATAATATTAAAGACATTTAAGATGGAATCTTTAAGCTCCATCAAGAATGCAGTATTCTGACCAACAGTTGAAAAGTATTGGAAATAAACAGAGACAAAACTCTAAAAATGGTACAATATTACTGTTAGATCATAAATCCATAAATTATCTTTCTGAAAGCTTACTTGAATACAGTGGAAGCGACAGTTTAACTCATCCCAGAAAGATCAGAGCGAATCAAGAGCTCAGTGAATCTTGCAGCTGTGGGAACATCAGAGCCAAGCAATACATGAGCTTATTGCGATCAATGTCATCAATGATTGGGCTTTCCTGATGGGATTAATGTCACCTATATGTTCCTCAAAGATGGTTTCTGTTTCAGTGCAGATAATAAAAGCTGTTACAGATGATTCCTCTAACCCCACAAGTAAAAACTTTAGTGTCATGGTGGATGAAAGACTCCAACCTCCTCAAAGGTTTTTCTCTGGGGCCGATTAACTGGAAGATCAAAACTTTGGACGTAAGCCAGAGAGGAGGGGCTGCTTACTTCAAAGGGTTTTATACTCAGAGGATGTTAACTGTAACAGAATCATCTGTTACCTTGGTATTTGGAGAGGACTGCAGGTCAGCCTCCTTTTCACTAACTATAGGTCCTGGTCTGGTTCTGTTTTGGGTAGATAGGTACACAGGGACCATTCTGACTGCTTCCCATCCCTGGTTTGGGTTTGCAAGATTGGGCTACTCTTGCTTAAAAATGTTTTCAGGCTTGTGATACTCTCCATTGCCCTTTGTTGGTTAAACTGGAAAATTGATTATACAATATGCAAATTAGGAAAGTGAAAAAAACTGACCAGTTGCATCTCTTTGTATTTCTATAGTTTGGAAAGTTGTGATTGTATTATATATTTAATGCAGTATTATATTTTTTATTTTTCCAGTTATGCATGTTTGTTTCTATTTTTGTGTTTCTCGCCACATGCTTAAGGATACGTTTGCAAAGGCTAATCCTTGTTAAAAATAAAGTAGTTTGTGTTAGTTCCATGTGCTACTGTGTGTTCTGGTTTGTTATTTGGGGATCCCACTAATAGAGTATTTGGACCTTTTGGCTGGTTGCTTGGTCCCTTGTACCTGAGACAAGTTAAAAAGAGCTAGCCCTGAGAGCCACAAGTGCCTTTGTAAAGGCAGTAGCTGAGCATAGTGCAAGCAGACGTGTTAGTTCGTATATATGAAACAGAGAAGAGGCAGAAAGCAACCAATAGTGCAGTACGTCTACAGTCCAAAAGTGCAGTAAGTGACAAGAGGTAGAGAACTCACATTTAACCCCTTAAGGATACATGATATGTGTGACATGTCATGATTCCCTTTTATTCCAGAAATTTGGTCCTTGAGGGGTTAAAAGAGCTATGGCCAGCTCTGGTGTGAAGAGCATAAAGCTAAATAATCCCCGCTTATGGGATGTGGGAAGATGTACCTGTCAGCACCGTCGGATAATCCAAAGCTAAAGATAAAAGGCATCTATAGTGCTCTCAATTGTGATAAAATAGAATATAAAAGAGTGATAAGAGTAATATTCACAAGTGTAGAGCAGAAACACTGCTCTATTGATATAGCGTTGGTGGTATGATCCCCACCTCGGATTTACTTGGAGTAACAGCGTAGGGCAGGCTTACTGCTTGATGGTATCAGCTCTGGTGGTATAATTCCTACCTCGGATTAGTAATAAAAAGCCAAGTAGCAAAGGAAATATATTATCAAATTTTAATGGTACATAAAAATTCAAGGAAATTGGCACAAACCAGGTCTATTTGTCCAAAAGAATTCCTTTATTCAGTAGTAAAAGTAAATATAAAACATCCAAATACGCATTTTGCCGATGTGGCTTTCTCAAAATGGGATAAAAACCGTGTGGGGGGGCGTGGCCTGACCTCGGATGGAGTGAGACGCACGGTGCCTGTGCTCCTAGGCCTCACCCTGTATAGCCCGTGATAATTAGCATCCAGACAAGTTCAAATTCTGCTATAATGGGGAAAACTAAGCGAGCTCTAAGTTCTGGGCAGCCCGGTGGGGCCCTGCTATGGTCCCAAACCGGCCCGATGGATGATTACCTTGCTGGGCCGCAGGGCCTGTCGGACGCCATTGACACGTCAATTCCCGCCTCACCCGGCTCAAGCATTGCTGGCTCATCCCGTGGCACCAGTGAGCCGGCGGCCCTGTCCCAAATCTCGCTAGATATAGCCGCTATCTCTTCCAGCATGCTCACCAGGCGGGATAAATCTGAAATGGTGGCCGAGCTGCGGGCGGTGATCAGGGAGGAGATTGCCGCTGTGCGTGCGGATCTCACCGCCCTGGAGCACCGCGTGGACGCCTTGGACGCTGAGCGCCTTCAGAACTCCCATCGGCAGCAAGCTGCAGAACTGGCGACCACCAGGCAGGGGAATCTACTCCTAGATCTACGTCGTCAGGTCGAAGACCTCGACAATAGAGGTAGGCGGAACAACATTAGGATCCGGCGGTTACCGGAGGCTGAAGGTGAGCTGCCACACGAACTGCTCACCGGCTTGTTCTCGCACCTGCTGGGGGAGGCGGCACCAGATGACTTCGGCATTGAGAGGGCGCATAGAGCTCTGCGGGCACCCCGGCGTGATGGGCTGCCGAGGGACTTGATCTGCGCCCTGGCGTCCTTCCCGCTCAAGGAAGAGTTGATGAAAGCCGCGCGCTCCCGCCCCGATCTTCGCTATATGGATGCCCCGGTGGCCCTGTATCATGATCTGTCGCAGACCACCTTGGATGCCCGGCGGGCCTTGTGGCCGCTTACCCGCCTGCTTCAGGAAAGAAGAATCCCATACAAGTGGGGCTTCCCCTTTAGCCTGCAGGCCCGGGTGGGCAACATGTGGCATGTGCTCCAGTGGCCCAATGATGTCCCCCGGTTTCTGCGGAATACTGGCCTCCCTCATATCGCCATCCCGATTTGGATCCTGGGGGGGCCCCCGGCTCGAGCGGTAGGCCCAGAAGAGGCTGCACATAACCTTCCTCTGGACCCGGAGCCACCACGTCGCAGAGGAGGGCTGAACGGCCCAGAAGAGTAGCTGTAGTCTGTCGAGCCCCGGTGGCGGACACCCGGGGGGCTGCCGGATCAGTCGGGTCTCCCATTGGACCTCAGCCCCTTATTGGCGGGACTTTTGGCTGCCCGGTTGTGAAGTCTGGGCCTCCCTGACCGGTGTAGGTACTTTTTATGGAAGTTAGTTGAGCGGCGGTGGGCATGCAGTTAGGTGGGGTGGAGGGGGTTCCACGGGTTCGGGGACAATGGGGGACAGATTCCGGGTGGGATCCACCGCAGGTTGGGAGGGCAGGGAGGTATGAGCTGGACTGGGCTGGGGGACTGTAAGGGTTGGTGGGGTCTGGCAGAAGAAGATGGCTCTCGGGGACAAATGTGTATTCTTTTTTTTTTTCCTTTCCTCCTCTTCTTCTCTCTGCCTGTAGTAGGGGGGTCTCAGGGGTGCTTCTGCCTAGCTGGGCTGCCTTGGGGGAGGTTTGGGGAGGTTGAGGCGCCACCTCTCGGCGGCTCTCATCTCAATTTCTTTACACGCTTTTGTTAACCATGGCGGCTGCTCCCGCTGAGTCAGGGGTATATTGGGCTGGGAGCAAGGAGGGGCTTTGGACCTGGTGCGGGGCAGGCTGATGCGAGAGGTGGAGGGCGGCCGGGGTCTAGATGGGGAGGAGAGGGAACGAGGGATGGGGATGTCTCTTGTAGTACACTCGGGAGGGGGGTGAAAGGGACCCGCACCACGGCAATCCCCATATCAGGCAGCGGGATGAGGTTAGCTCGGGAGTTTCAGTAACACATAAAGGGGGGCCCCTCCCCTCCTGCAGGCAGGCTCCAGGCGTGAAATAGGCGCCCTACCCTTGAGCCGTCTCCAGTTGGGTGAGTGGGCGTCCCTGGGGGGCCCGGGGCGGTGATGAGACTCTCAGAGGGGGGCAGGGGGCTAGAGGTGGGAGTCCTCTTAGCTAAACTTATTGCTGACAAAAGGGGGGGGACGGGGACCCGAGACAAATTAGTTGCCCCTGATGGGCGCGGGCTGGAGTCGGGTAGGGGGTACATACAAACTGGCCCCACGCGGGTTGTTAGGGGAGTTGGTTCACATGGTTTCCTCCAGTTATTTTATGGTTTAGCATCTGGATACTCGCATGTATGACACACAGGGGGAGGGCCGACGGACACTGGGGCAGTTACAACCACTACATCCTACGGACACGCCAAGACAGTAAGGGGTCTTTTTGTTCCCTACTGTGACAGACCCTCACTGTAAATAGAGCTGGGGTTCCTCACGCGGGCATAATATTCCCGGGGGAGGGCTATACACTCCGGCTCAGGGTCGACGTTGCCCACAGAGGGCGGTGAGACTACTTCCTACTGCTAACTGTACCGGACTCTCCCACATTTTCCTTCGCTCACATGTCCACCTGTGCCGGGGGCGGGGTTGCCCCACCGTTGCAGCAATGGCGCCCGGTCGGGGCTTCGTTCCAGCGCGGCTGACCTACTGGTCTAATAACGTTCATGGGCTTAACATGCCTGAAAAACGATCACGGTTGCTGCGGCAGCTCTGGGCTGCAAAAGCATCCGTGGCGTTTTTGCAAGAGACGCACTTCAAAGGGGGAGATTCGCCTAAACTGGAGAATCGGTGTAGAATATTGCATATTCTATGTTTCTATTGATTATATATATGGATGTGTGGATTGACATAAGTAACAGATGGTATCAATAAGTCACAAGGCTTTCTTTGTCCGAGAGCTCTGGAATGTGGGTGTGGGGGTCTTGTCCTTATATGGCTAGAGTTATATGCTGACGTTAGTATTAGCACATCTAGATAGTAACAGAGGGACACGAGGTCGGTCTCACTCTTGGCTTGGCTCTGTACAACGATGTAACTCTCCCATCAGAAGTACAGCAATTACCATCTGCTGTTAAATGTCCATTATCCTGTAACATCCTATATTATGTTTTATGTATCCGTAACTAAGAATAAACCTGAAGAAACCGTAAGTCAGATTGCGTATTACTACTTTTCAATAATATAGACATATATTATTGTGGCGAGCATTTGGCCCAAGAATATATATACAAAAGACGTATATATATCAATCAACTGAAGACAAGAAGAAATTAAGAAAGAGTCTACATTAACATCCATTCATCTAGTTTTTTACATTGGCTAGCCTGCCAGTCTTCTATTCAAGTTTTGTTCCCACTTCAAGGGGGGAGAGAGAAGAATCGAGTTACAAAGCTATTTTGGAACTGGGAAAACAAACTTGAAGAGAAAAAAAGAATCTAGATTAGCATAGAAGAACTGTGTTTGTAAGAAAAAGAAAGTTTTCAAATCAAAGACTGTACAAGACTATTTTCTACAACTGAGACAAAAAGCACAAGATACAACGTGAAATCTAGAAGCAAGCACGTGGCAGACATTGGCAAATTTCCAGGTCCAAGCAAAGAACTGCGCAGCTGTGTGGATGAAGCAACGAAATAGACAGAGATAACTGATCTGGTGAGTAACATGGGATTCATAAATGATATTACAGAGAAAAGTAAATTGCAGTTTGCATTTAATAGCAGCTATTCAGATGCTGTATTGTGGCAATCTTTATACACACAATGTGAAATTGCCAATAGTGAAATTGACAAGAAATTGTTTGTTAATAAGAAAAAACAAAAGATCAGAAATGTTATGAAACTAGTCTGTACTTACAATGCATTGATTTGTAAACGAAATACAGGTAAAGACAATTTAGAATCAGCAGAAAAAGAAGTAGATTTGAATGGGTTAACAGAAGACAAATCAGATTTAAATGAACAGTGTTAGGGAATGAGCATGGTTATGTGTGCCAACAGATGTACACAGGCTGATTCCAAAATTAAGAACAGCACAAGAATAGAGATCTATGTTAGTTTGTTGTTTTAATGAATTGTTAGTCTGAACTGTTTTTTCATTGTTTTATATGTATTTTAAGAAAGTATTAGGTTAATTAATTAAAATAAAAATGTACATCAAGTTTGCAAATATGGCAGAATGAAATACACTAATGTAGCAGTGAGGAACATGCAATGTTATATTGGGTGTATGCAATTATACAGTAACTCCAATCATTTTACAGAAGGTAAAAACAATGTTGTTACTTCTGAGGTTGATTTAAAATCTTTGATTTAATTCATGAGAATGAGATTTTAATATCATGACTGATAATGGATTACTATATTTTGCAAAGCCTGGACATACATATGTTTTGATTATTTAGAAGACAAAAGTTTTGATAGAATAAAACCTAGATTTACAAATACATTTGATGAAGGAAACAATATATGTTTTTTGTAGTTTGTTTCATGTGACAAAATGGTGCCAGTGTTAAGACAAAATGGCTGCTATTGCTAAAGTATAGTGTAAAACAATATTTTGTTGTAACATCTGATATGTGATTAGGTTATACCTCCAGATTATTAAACAGTTTAAAAGGGGGGTATGATTAATAAAATGTTCAGAAAGATTTTAATATAAAGGAAATTTACAGATTATACATCACATGGCATAAATGTAATGACCACTAGATGGTAGATCTCATGAGCAGAAATTAGTATGTTGTGTAGTCCATGTAATTCAATGTTAAACTGTGTAATAATAATGAGATATAAACATTGTAAGCCATTGTATTGATGCTGCACATGTTATTTGTTTCAATGTAGGTAAAGCGTGACAGATCCTTGTGGCAATAAATCAGGAAAGTATTCCTTCAGACAACTGGACATCGACTGTTGGAAAGAGACTTTTCATCTGATCTGCCAACTGTGATGGAAGATTCTACAGAGTTCATTCGATACAGAAGATTAACAGACTTACAAAGAAATAAAAGATTGGCACTAACATACATATATATTCCTAAATATTAATGAAGAAAACAGACAATGAAAAGTTATTTAACAGTTATGAGTATTAATACCAAGAGAGACTACTTATAACTATATAACACATGGAGTAAAATTATTAATGGATGGTATTATGAAGAGAACTATTACATTATTACCTATACATAGAATGAGAAGTATCAGAGGTAGATAAAATATGAAGTTGATAAAATTACTTAATTCTACAAAGATTGAGTTCAATAGGATTTCATAGATAAATTATAATAATTAATTTGTTTATAATCGAGGTAAAGTAAAACAAACAATGGTAATAAAAGGAAGAAAACTAAGGAAGGATAATTTATATTGATTAATATTAAGTAATTATATACATTAAGAAAGCCTTGGATATAAGAGTTCAGAGATCCAAGAGGAATTGAATTGAATGGAAAGAGTATAGTACACAATTATATTTGACCTAAGGCTATAAAGGTATGGACTAGGGAGAATAGGTTTCTGGATATGATGGTATCCAATGAATACGTTGTTATAAGTTGTTAAGATTTCCCTGAGTTTGTTAGACACAGACTAGGAATAAGAGTTTCTGGGCAGTATGACCCCAAGTTTTGTTTATTTTATTTTAGTCAGTTGAAGTGTACTAAGGATTATGGATTGGTCAGAACATTAGGACAATCCTGCTTTTAAGATGTATTACATTAATAAGTCATCACAATGCTAATGAAGAGAGTGATGCTAATGAATTTATATTATTCTTTCCAAGTTCTTTTAGAGTAAACTATGTTTCTATTGAATTTAAAGTTTGTTACTACAAGGTGGAATTTTAGTCAAAATTATAATTATGTGAACAAAAACAAATCTATGATAGAAAGATTTCTGGGTGCAGAATTTCTAGGACAATAAGTATTGTCAACACCATGAACATTATTTGAAGAATTATTATAGAACTTCATGGTTGATAACACATCATTTGAATGAGACTTATAAGTAGTGTTGATATATTTCAGGTAGTGAGAGCCTACTGAATATACAAATTAAATACTATGATTGTAAAGTACTGATACAATCATCACTAGGTGGTATTAATGGTATAGGAATGTAATTCATGAATACAAATGATAAAGATTTTAAGTTGCTAGAAACCATATGATTCATGGAAATATAATTGGACGTATA